GAGAGAGAGAGAGAGAGAGGGTATTACAGCAACAGCTGGCTCCATGATTCAGGTACCTCTTGGGATTCATGGCAAGGGATCATGGGGGCAAAACCAGCAGGCTTTGGGTACCTAGGGAAGACGGAGGAAGACAAAGGAGAAGGGGAAGAGGAGGAAGAAGCAAAGAGAGTGGACATCTCCTGAGAAGGTGGCATCAGGTTGTTGTTCATGCTCCACAAGCTAGGGCTTCTCCCCATCATTTGCTGCACTATGGAGCTCTGATAAGCTCCTCTACTCATGCCTACAGCTCCTCTTCCGCCCTATCCTTCTGCAGCTCCCACTCCTTTTCCCTGTCACCCAGGTCAACCTTTGCTTCTTTTCACTTTACTGGTTGAGGTTTGGAGAGGAAAGCAATACCAGCTAAGGGCTTGTAGGTTATGTTTACAAGGTATGGAGAGGAGCTTCCTTTCCACCCATCTTTTATTTAATGTTTTCTCTTACTTTCCTTGCTTTTCTCCCCCCTCCTTTCTTTTGCTTTATCACAAAGTGGGCAAACAAAAGATAGTGGCAGTTTCACAGTGAAAGAATGTTTTAGGGAAATATGAGTTCTTAATTAGGGTAGAAGCTACAAGTTTGTATGGTAGGATTGGCCTAAGTATGTATTGTAGTCAACATTGTTTTATCTTCTGTAATCTATTGCATACGGAGTCCTTAAGGAGTGACAAAGGATAAGTCACCATAGCACACTGGAAATTAGTCTGCTCAAGGTGAGAGGATATGGACCACCCATATAGTAGACAAGTCCATAGTTAACAAATAATTAATTATATGTTGGTGGCCAGTTGATAGTTCATTAGTGGTGTGACTAAGAATGAATGATTACTCGGAATTTGACATTCTTATTATTGTAGTTCATGAAGTGCAAAAGTGAGAATATTAGAGTTAATTACCAAAAGCATGAAGGAAGAACATATCCTTTGAGCTTTGTTTTCTTGGGCAATTAAGATGGAGAAGAACTTATAGTCTATTTCTCACCAAGCATGAGTGAGAGATCATCTACATGTAGATGATCCATGCTAAAGCTAAGGAATTATACTCGTTGCATGATGTTCCATGATAAAGCTAGAAAACTATGCTTTTTGCTTGATTCTGTCTTTGAAGCCTTAATGTTATTGGCCACAAGATCGACTCTTGTGGCCACAAGACAAATGATTTATTATTATTATTATTATTATTATTATTATTATTATTTATACTTTCATTTTTAGTATTTAGAAATTTCTTTCATCGAATACACCCTTGATGTAAGTTGTTGTAGGAATGGATTAAGATGTGATACACAAATATTATTTATTTTGAGAGATTTTTTTTTTCTTAATTGGTTTACAGCCCTTGAACTCGTGTCTTTTTCTCTCTTCTAAATTCAATAATATTAAAAAGAAAAAAAATAAGGCCAGATCATCAATCTCATCGCATCAGGTTGACGATAAAATAGATAATTTCATCATTAAAATCGTGTTTCCGAAGAACAAAAACATGTACATTCAAACAACATATGCAAAGTTTTATATCTTTGATCATTATATTAGACTCCATTTTAACAACCTAAGCTTAATTGGGTCCATAATGTATCTATCGATTCACACTCAATGATTCATGGAGACATGCATATAATGTACAAAACAACCTAATTATTTTCATGCAGTGTTCCTTAAAACATGTTCCAAAGCGGTAGGCTGTCCATGTCACACGTGTCAGTCAAAAGGTATGAAGCAGTACAGCCATGAGTTACCCGAGCATAAGTAGCAATCCATTTCTCCGATCTACACCCCCCCCCCCACCCCCCTAAATGTCATCAATTTATATCCTCCAAGATTCCAAAAATTGCCTCAAAACTCCTAATCATGAGTGATTACTGCTCCAATGGTCATGCATTATGCTAATATAATCTTAATCAAAGAAGGAAGTATTTATTATCTTCACCAATACAACGAGACAAAACAACTTGGGACAAACTCCAATCATTCTCAGTGAGCATTACATTTTCCACAAACCATAAACAAAATGCCCAAAACCATTGGACATTATTCATTGGGGAAAGAAACATATCATAAATATATATATATATATATATATATATATATATATATATATATAT